TAGACAGGTCTTTAATATAGTGATAGGGTGTGTGCCCAGACAGAGTGAAGTCTCTCATGCCTCAAATTTTGTCCACTGGTAGCAGGTCTTTGATGTCATGGAGACTAGAGTCACTAACAAACTGCAGAAAAGGGGAGGGAGAAAATCAGATTTCCAGGATGCAATGGCAGAAGGAGCATTTCTCTGGTGTAAACAGGAAAGACATGTGGAAGGAGCCCACAATGGAATGATGCCTGCAAAGCATCCCATGGCTGGGCTGTGATTTTAGGGGGAGGTCACTGCTGTGGGACTTGCAGGTGTGAGGTGAGCTGGGGTCTGCCAGCATGGAGTCCTGCAGGAAGGACATGATGGTGAAGATGCAGACCAGACAACAAAGAAATTCTTCAGTCAGAGAACACTGTAACTAGAGTGCTGCTCCTCAGTGAAGCACTTGAAATGGTGGACTGAAACAGAGCAGGCCACTATGTCTGTATAATCACGTATGTACTCAGGATATGTCTCACGACTCTACTCCCAATCTGCGTAGCGTAATGTTAAAATCCCCTCTGTTATCAAGAAATAGAACATATGAATGCTCACTGAGGGACTGTGTATATGGACTATTATTTGGAAATAAAACCTATTGTTTTAAACTCTGTTTTGCTTAATTATTCATTATTTACTACTTTAATTATGCATGAAAAACCTCAAGTACTTCTGAATTTTCTTTAGGCAATGCAGACTATAAGCCATGCTAAGAAAGTCATATAGTGAGGTGTCTCTTCCTTCCATTAGTCATAAGAGAAACATAAATTACAATTCAGCATATAATTCTCTGCTTCTTCACACAATGATTTAAAGTCGATTAAGTACAATTACTTCCTGCTCAGCATATTTACTGCTGTATAAAACTTTCTCCCTCCCATAAAGAGAAGGCATACAGGCACTTTTCTGAACAACAGTACTGTTAAACATTTTTTTATTAGGCTTTTTTTGAAAACATGTTTTACTTTTCAGTCGTTTACAAATTACTTTAGCGGTTATTTGGGAAAGCACTTAATATGTGCTAATGTTCTTTGAACGGGGAGTTTACTTAAGTGCTTTTCTGAGCAGAAACTCATTGTGTTTATCAGTCCATTTATCTGAATTTAAAGTAGCGATTATTTTGATATCTCAAAACATTTTGAAACAGAGCTATGCAAGAGTAGCATATAGCTCACTTCCCTCAACTCTTCATCTGCAACATCTACACTTCCTAACATAACCCCACCCCATCCTTGTTTGCCACACTTGCAGGACAAGACACAGCCAGTGCTGTGATCCTATAGGAACTATATATGCTTTTTTACTAACTAGCCAACAGACAAAGTGGCTGGTCAGCTGACATCTCTAGTCCAGTAGCAAGCCTTACACAGCTGAACCTTGCTTTTTAACTTGCAGACCCAACCAACAGTTTGGTGTGACTCTTAAGCTGTCATTTTTCACACTTCTGTTGAGAGAATATAGTATCTGTGAAATCTTTCCCTGTTACTGAACTCATGTTGGCTAATGGGTTGACAGATCTTTGTTTCCTTATGAAGCCCAGGGGAAAAACCAAAACCATGGATATTGAATTTATGAATAATTATACAAAATAAGTAACTAAAAATGGTCATGAATGTTACCAAGTTCCTTTTATATGACTTACATTACTGTTAGTAATTTTTTTAGTATTTGATCAGGTCTGGTAATACTTTAGTCATTAAATCGAAGGGAGGTTTGTAGGATGCAGTTCACAAAGCCTTTTTAGACTTACTTTCCTTTAGTCTACTTCTTGTCATCGTTAGAGCTGAGCAGTGTACTTAATCTTGTTGATGCTGGTGAGTGCATCAGGAGGCAGTTAAGATTTTATTATTAGTTGTAGTAGATCTCTGTGCTTAAAGAGCCTTAATCACTTCTGAATTAGTTCACTTCTGTCAGCAAATATTATCCCTCTTTGATGTTCTCAGGCTACTCTACTAAGTAACTGTGGTAGAATACAATTATTCGGTTTCTATGGATGCCCCCGGTACTCTTCATTGCATTACTTTATTCAGCAAAATGCCCACAGCAATATCTTCTTCAAAAAGAGAGAAAACCCCCTGAAGAACAAGCTAATAATTCTGCATGTTTAAAGAAGAATCTGTTAATTTCACAAAAACCATCAAAAAAGAAAGGGCTACAGGAGGTAAGTAAATCCAGTATGCTTAAAGAAAATAACATGCTAGCTCCTCAGCTACCATAAAGTATTGTAGTTAACAGAATGGTCTGGAGTTAGAACAGCTGAAGATATTGTTCTAAGTTCTTAACAAAGATATGACAATTGAAGAAAACAATTTATGTATTTATAAAAAGGTCTAGCACTTCATGCAGTGTCTATACCAAAAATATTAAAACAGTTTCTATGAAAATATTACATGTAAAAAGGTAATATGAACACAGGATAAATATGCTGTGTAGTTATAATTTACTCTAGATCTAATCTAGATCTTCCATATTAGACACACATCAAGAGAGAAAAGTTGTTTTAAAGCAATGTGTTTGGACTGCAGTCCTTGTACACATTAAGATATTTTTGATTTGTTGTCACGTCATGCATATAATCTTGGATCTTTGTTTTATATTATCATGTGCATAAACCTGCAACACCATGAAATAAGTACTGTCCATTTCGGTATAATTAAGATTAAAAGGAAAAATTGTAACAGTGAGTTTAGTGTTTGGTCGTATAGATAGAAAAAGAAATGCAATATAAAGGTGATTATTCAGTATTTTTGGTAAATAATGCAAAAGCAAAACTATAAATTGTTTACTAATAGTTGGCTAACACTAAAAATAAGAGGTCACTAATCTTTGTCCCTGAGAATGTCACCATGATTTATAAACATTAATAAAATCTCTACAATGTTCTGAAGCTTTAGTTCTACAGCTTCCTTTTCTGAGGTTAGATACCCTAGCTTTCTCCATATCAGTTTCTATTCATGACTAAAAGTAACTCACAAAAATTGTTTATTGTCCTCTCAATAATTTCCATCAATGAAAACTCCATTAATTTTCTTACATATTTCATATGACATTATATTTCTCTCTTTTACTTCTAAATATATAGTTAACATGCTTATGATTTTATACATCTACACAGTTTATAAGCCTACAAAAACGGTTTTATCTTTATAACTACATTTTATAGATGCCTCAATTTCATTTATTACAATGCTTTCTCCTGCAAAGCTGTCTTTTTATATCCAAATAAACTGACAGATATTCTGGAAATCTCATCTTAAATTCTCTGAGGCCCTTCCAACACCATTTTTAGTAATGTAAGAATTATTATAGGGAATGCAAGAAGTCTACACTCTAGAGTTTACTGTCAGTGTGTCACAAATTATCAAAACATTGGTCTTTTCCCTGTTTTGAGTAAATTGCAGTGAAAATCTATATTGTTAAACCAGGAACCGACAACAGCAAAAGACATTATTTTTTAAAAGCTCACCACTTAAATACACATCATAAGCCATGTTCATACAGCTGTTAGCCAGTTTAAAAACAAACCATATCTCTGGTGACCTCCACCTGTGCATGTTTGGTGACTTGCATTTAGTACCATGAAAAGTAAGTACACATAAGGGTAGTTTCTGGCACCATGTTTTGTTCCTTTAATGAGAAAGGAAAAGAGAGATTCCGGTTCGCAACATCATACATAGCCTAAGAGCTTAAGGCAATTCTCAGTGCAAAGCACATATCATTAGGCATCTTATATAATTAGCTCTTCTGTTACCATCATCAGTGAATGGTGAGTGAGTAGTTGTCATGCTTTTTCTAATCCATTTTCATGAATATTATTAGTCTTACCATCACTGTCATTATCATCATCACAGCAAGCTGTTAATTTCTGTATGCCCAAAGGCAAACAAGTCATTACTTAATCATCAACAAAACTACTTGTCCCAGATAGACAGGTAAGCAGATTTTTGGTGGGCTGATCAGTGAAAGAACCCAGGGCCTTCCTACAAGTGGAACATAATAGGATCCTCCCAAATCTTAGCAGTTTTAATGAATACTTTCATATTATCAAACGTCTTCTATTCAAAATGGTAGTTTTGCCGGTTTTGGTTCCTGTTTTACATTAAACACTTCAGCTACAGTTACAATGTCACTGCACAGTAGGTGAAAAACATTTCTGGAACAAATGTCAGCAAGGGATAATTTTGAAATAACCTTCTCATCTACAGTAACACAGCCCAGAAGATAACACTGCTATATAGATTGCTTTGTTGGTAACCTATGATGCTGTTTGCTGGCATAGTAAGTATCTCTAAAGATGGAAGAGGAAAAAGTTGCAGAAATAAACAAAAATATAGAATTCTCTTAGTTTGCCATGTTTTCCCATATTTCCCATAATGGTTGACCTTGGACATGAACTTGAACTGAAATGGGAGGAAGAAAAAGCTCAAAAACAATAATGCAAAATGGACAATTAAAGGAACAAAAAAATATCTATTGGGATACCTCACCTAAGGAACTGGCTCATACAGGTGCTGAAATATCTTGCAGTGAAGCGTACTATGAAACATGGATACTAAAAGAAGTGAGTTCTCTTTCATTTAACCTTTGTATTGTGAAATTGTAATACATAACGTGTGGTGTTTTACTCTTTCAAAACTGAAATCTTAAGGAAGGACTTGGAAAAGCACCAGACAAAGACTCTAGTTCTAACAAAGTACTGATACAGTTAGTCTCAGGTAGTTAAAGCTTGCATTTAATTTTAAACAGGAAGGTATGTTTTTGTGCTCTATGTAATGGGGTCAAGGGCCAGCTGCCAAAAGCATTTTAATGCCCTCACCAGCAGAAGCTGGAAGTCCTCAACAAAAGCACTTAAAACATTTAACAATCTGCAAAACATCCTAACTTGCTGACCCAGACTTCCAAGACACAAAACTATCCCCCTAATAAATGCCTAAGTGACAGAGACACAGTAACAGACATGCAGTGCTGGGACTTACCATCTTGGTCTGTGGTAACTGTGATTGCTGTGAACTGCTTGGGAGAGAAACTCAGCTCTGAGACCCCATTTGTGGCTTCTATTTCAAAGGTGTAGTTCACGTGCGACACAAAGTCAAGCACTGTCACTGAGGAGTTGATGAGACCTGTGTGCCTGGGGATGAAACGGATACCCCCCCCACAAATCTCACACTGGCTTGCGTCCGACCCACATTTCTTACAGATGACACTGTAAGTGAGATCTTTTCTTCCTCCGGTATCACTCGGGGGGCTCCATTCCAACATGAGAGCTGTTTCATTAATGTTAAAAATCACATTCCTTGGAGCAGAAGGTGGCCCTGCAAAGAAGGAGGGGAAAGCCTGTTGAGAAACAGTTGTCTATTTTGGAGGAAGAACAAAACATGAAAAGTATTAGTCTGAAGGCAAAAGAGTTATGTTTCAATAACAAATTCAATGTAAAAATTATCTAAATACAGTCCTTGAAAATGAAGCAGGAATAATAAATGGGCAAGATCTTAAAAAGCTGAATAATCTGAATAAATAAGAATTAATTCAGAAATAATTTAAGGCAACATAAAAATAACTTGGTAATGTCAAACCTAGACTTGGTAACACAAATTTGCACTAAATATCTCTTGATCTTGTGGGATACTGGGGTAGAGCTTTAACCACAAAATGTATTTCCTTATGTCTAGTAATGTAGGCTTTTCTGACACTTATAATTTTTATATTTTATAAGAGTCAAATTGAATAATAAATAAACAGCAGCTTTGGAATAATGACAGGCAAAATTGTTTGTATTAGTTCTGCACTGCCAGATATTTTTTCTATCCTTCACTCCTTATCCCCAGGGATTTCCTTGCTGCTGTTCATTAACAGAGTTAGGTGGCAACAGGCCAAGACCATTAGGTACAAGAGACAGTTTACAAGTTTTTTTTCTTTCCCACCTGGCACTCCATCAGCATCAGTCTAACAGTGAAGACATCAACCTTGTAAGTTAAAGGTCTGAACGGATGGAGGCAAAGCAAAAGACTGAAGTCCTGAAGACTGTGGGGAGGGATGCAAATATAGTAGTAGCAGCAGGCAGAGTATAAGAAAGCTCTTGGCTTGTGAGCAGGTGGTAAAGGTCTTTGTGTCCTCTCAGATGAACCTTGAGTGACCCATTTCCCATGGATTCCAAAATAGTCAAGGTATGTCCAACAAGTTTTAAGCTGTTAATGCTGACTTACTGTGTAGGATCACATGTAAGTCATCTGAGACTTTATATATCAGCTTCCAGAGTCTGACAGAAGAACTTTACAACATATTAATTTTTCAGATAGGAATTAATGAAGGGGTGAAGGAAAGGCAGAAATTGTTAAAAGTCTGAATACTCTTATCTCCATTTCTTATTAAATTCTTCTTCTTCCACTTAACATATTTCAACCTAGCACTTACAGACACATGGTTTTCCAAAATAATTTGTATAGAGTCCCAAAATATGCTCATAAAAATTATGTAAGAAACACAGATTTGGCAAAATGCAAGGCATTATACTCCAGGTTTTGATATACGTAAGATGAGTGTGGTAAACTCAACTGGCAATCTCTGGGTTTTCTTGAGCTGAATGAGTTGACTAGGCATTGTATTTTCAGCTCTCAACATAAAATCACAGTGCACATGGATTGCTTGCCCAATGGTTAGCAGAACTTTGAAAACTTGCAGCTTGCTTTACAGGTTTTCATGATTTATACATTTCTATGTTTCTATGTTATATAAATGTATATATTTCTTTCTGGTATTTTTAATTTTAAATAAGACTATGTTTTCATTAAAATTATTTTTCCCCTAAAGTAAATGATGAATTAACTGCTGGACTTCAAGCACTTGACAATACAAATACTTGGAGGTGTTACATCGCTTTGCATATTTTTAGTGGACAAGGAAGTTTAAAATATTTTTAATGTGTAACTATTTATTTGTATATCTATTTGTAGAGAGTTCATAGGTAGGAGCCAAAAAAGCCCTGGAGAGGAAAGACCAGTTATTTTTCATCGTATCAAAGAATCATTTAGCTGAATGGTATAGGGCTCATTTGTACTGAAGATCGATATTTCTGAAACCTGTCAGATGAAAATTATATTTGTAATTTGCAATTTTTATGATCACAGAGAATATTTTGAGTATTTCCTTCCTGGTCTTTGACTGTGACCTTATGATAAGTCTAACAGTGAAGCATTTGAAATACTGTTATATGGAAGTATTTATAAACGCAACTTGCTAACAAAGGCTAATTACATCATTTTGCAGTGGTGTGGAAAACAGAAAGAAGGTACAGTCTTGAAGACTTACGTTGTCCAAAAGCCCCTACAACCTTAGAGTGCCTTAGATGTACAAATATCTAAACTTCCCACAAAGTTACTGTGAGGTTGATGGTTCTAACTACTCTGTAAAACAGTCCTGAGATCAGAATAAGCTAAAACTAGCACAGATTCCTTCAGGTTTAGTTCACATTATTTATGTGCAGAAGACAGGAATAATTACGTTTCCTCTAAAAACATGCTGTGAGAATTAAATAATGACTGGTCTTAACAAATTCCCACTGTTAAAACCAATGAGGAGCTATAGGAATATGGAGGATGAGCCTTAATCGCACTTACATATGTGCATAACTTTAAGCGGATCAGTAATTCCCTTGAAATAATTGGTAATACTCGTGCACTTAAAACTAAGCATGTGTGTAATTGCTCAAAGAATTGGAGCCAATGTTTTAAAACTGGCTTAAATTTAATCTTACATAAACTAAAGATATTATGACAATGAGTCATCACAGCTCTTTTTTTTTTTGTTACTTCATCAACTTTGGCAGGTCACAAAAGCAATTACTGTGAATCTGGGCAATAGGAGAGTTTTGTCTGGCTTTGTCAATTTAAATTTTCTATCAGATTTTTGTGTACTAAATGGAGATGACCTCAGCAGAAGAAGCAATACAGTAGATAAAATACACTTTTTAAAAAATTTACTTTTTGTTTGTACCAGAGAATGAAGATTGTTATATTCATGATTTGGGACTTAATCCTCAACTGTAAGAGAAAACATGAATTATTGTACATTCACATTTCAATGAATAAGAAGAACATTATCAACTATGTTAGAGGTGTCTGAAAGTATGTGACTGACCGCCTGCAAATACTGACAAAAAATGCAGACACTCTTCATACCCAAGGCCCCTCATGCCAATTTGCATGACGATTAAATAGCTTTTTAATTGCCGTTAAATTATGCCAGTTAAACTGTGATTTCATGCAAATATTAAGCTGTAATGACATGCAGTGAATCATTTACTAAGATTTAGAACTTGGAACAAAGAGAGACAATTAATTCTAATCCTCAGATTCAGCTAAATTATGTGTCACTGGGCTTTTATGAATGTGGCCTGATTGCTTTGTTATCATTTATAAATTATACAAAGATTACTTGACACATTGGAAAAACTTGGCAGCAATAACCCTTCTGCAGACATATGTGTGCAAGGCTCTCAGGGATTTCCTTATATTGATTTTTAAGTAAAACAGGTATATTGTTGAAAATGATGGATCTTTTTCTCACAGCAAAATTCATGACTTTGGATTTCATGCAAGAGTGAAATACAGTTCAGATGGATAAGCATTTAAAAAAAAAAAAATGAAGCTCTTCTGCTCCTTAGATGAAACACAGCCCAAGTGTGAGCAATGTCTTTTTCTTTGTTTACAAATTATAAACCTAAGAAGTATTTCTACACTCTCTGTGGAGCAGTCTGACATTGATGTCTTACAGAGAAGCAGGCCCACCCCTAAAAGCAACAGTTTATGCCTCATGCAGTACACTGCACCTCATCTTGCTTTGCCCTCTGTCAAGGTGAAGTGCATTTTGTCCTTTAGGGAAGGAGAAAGGAGCAAACATAATGCTGCAGAGGGCAATGCAGTATTTTAAACGCTACAGAGTGATGACTGTCTGAAAAAAAACTGATTGTTTTTTAAGTGAGAACTGTGCATTACCAGCTATTGGACTCTTAGAAGTGTCTGTTATTTGACTACTGAATTTACAGTGGAAGGGTGAAAATTAACCACTGTCTTAGAACACTCAGAATCAGCATCTGGCTGTGCCCCTTGAGTTCATAATTGCTTTTTTATGTACATACATACATGGACGTAGCATATATAAGTAGTGTCACTTGATGTAGAATGCTGTATTACATTTTTTCCTTTTCAGAATCACTTCTTCTGTGAGGCAGGCAGGAAGAATGGAAGCCGTTGACTGTAAACCAATACTCCAAGTCTGAGTGTAATGATAAATTGCAAACAAGTATATATATAAAAATAACAATAGAGGCAGTAGAGTTGAAGGCTTCAAGCATGTTTCTTGATTTTGCTGCTGGAATATAGTGTTGATTCTTAAAACCAGAGGATACAGTTTGTGACAGAGGTTATTGAACAGTGTAAGTCTGTTGGGTTCAGAATTGTTTAAGTATAACATGAAAAGAGATGCATTCAGACACAGACACCCAGTATAAGCCTGCCTGCCTTTGACCTTGAAAATGTGGATCAATTTATCCAATTACATTATACTGGGAAATGTTAGAGTTTATGTACAGAGTAATCAGACAGGGGATTAGATATGATGCTATTTGTTGCTCACTGTGTATGCAGAGAGATCACTGATAGAGTACTCACAAATGCCAAAGAAATACAATAAGGAGAAAGGAGAAGCAGCAAGAGATTGATAACAAGTGCCAATCAAATGAAAAAAGCTAGGAGAAATAGATTAACAATATATCCTAATGTAATTTTCATTCCTCTTACTAAAATTCGATTTCTATTATGCTTTTCTGCAAAGTGCACACTCTTATTTTACAAAATACAGTCACATGAAGCAAAAATGGGAACCGTACAATTTTGGAAAAGCATACAGTATGCACTTTCACAGAATTAATGAAATTAGATTTGAAGCTCATCATTAAAAAAATGGATGCTTTAAGCTAAACTCTTAATTTCATAGTCTCTTAAGTCGAGGTCCTTATTTTCCATAATGCTGCATATGCAAGTTTTCCAGTACTGAGGAAAAATTCTGGAGTGAGAAATACTGTCTAACCCTATACAGGAATGAAAAGGGAGAGAATAAATTATCTACCTAATTTAGGCATATTGCTTTGTAGGACTTTGGGAAGCAAACAAAATAGGTATGAATATAGTTGATTCAAAATGTTTGAATATGAAGAAATTTGTAAGGGGAATACACAATTCATTCTGTGTTTAATTTAAGGACAAATCTCATTTAAAAAGTCACAAGAAAAAATCTCTTATGTCACATCTTGCATGTCAGGATACAAATGTGCAAATGAACATCAAAAATGCAGATCTGCCCCAAAAGTGGTTATGTAGAAAAGGCATTTTCTTACTGCACAGCCTTTTCTCTGTATTTAGTCAAATCGGCTCATTTTTTTTCCTACCTTTTCAACTTCTTTTATTCGAGTAAAGCATGACAGTTTGGAATGATTTGGAATTCTACTCATATCTGTATCTTTGTTTATTAAATTTAAATTAGCCACATCTGCACAGACCCACCGAAGGCAGTGAGGTTGTATTTATGACAGAAACATAATTTTAATAACTGAGAGCATAATTTGAAAGCAGTGGGGCTAAAGATATCACTTAGGGAATAATTTGGCCTGCAGATTCTTCATTACTGATGATGTGCAAGAAGATAAGAACACAGTCTGCCTGTCAAGAGTCTTGGTGTCATTTGCAGAGCTGGCAATTAGTGAAATAATCACTAGATACAAGATGAATGCATCTGCTGTTACAGTCAGTGAAGTACTGATACCTGGCAGTCTAGGCTGAATGAGAGGCAAGGCATGGTGGCACTGAAGAAAGCAAGGCAGAAACTGGAATGTGGTTCACCATCCTTTATTATTTCTCCCAAGTCATAGTGAGATGGGGCACTGGTAACTCTGTTGTGGCTGATTTCTTCCCTGCCTCCACTCTCAGTTTCTCTGGCCTGACATCCTCAGCAGGAGAGCTCTGGCAGCAAGTCTTCCCTGACAGTTTTTGGCCAAAGCAGCTCAGAGCCCCCTGCGTTTGTTGGGGAATCACTGAGGTGTTGATGCCACAGGGCTCTACTGCTCCTCCCTACCTTATCAATACTAATGGCCTTAAAATTGTGCCCTGAAAGATAATTATGGAAACACAATGCCATGTATGAGTAATTTTTTCAGAGAAGAACTGTCTTTTGGAGTTGAAAAATCAATGACTTATAAATAATATGGAACCACATCTGCATAATGCATGAGCAAAACCATCCTTCTAAGCATGAAACTGTCAAGAGTGCCTGGGATGTGTGTTAGTTCTGTGGATAAGTTTTTAATGGCCTATGCTTGCTTGGGGCACTCATTTGTGTGGAATTATTTGTAATTACCATTTTCCTGTGGGAAGTCTGGAACAACATTGTTTATTCCCTCACATATTTTGTGCAGAAAGATAGGGCCTTGCTCCAGAGTGAGCTGACAGCAGATTGGGTGCACTGGATTGGGGTGCCTCTCTGAACCCTATGTCCCTAAAGTAGCTGGAGGTTGGGACTTGCCTTTCCCTTCTGACAACCCTATGTTAAGATTAGACAATTTTCTGTTAAGTGCCTTAGATCTGAGGAATACCATTTTTAGCGACCACCGCACCTCCCATTTGGTGGATGAACAATGTCTTGGTCTATGTAATGACCTCAGGATTAGAGTGTCTATGACTTTGTAAATCGGCTTCAAATTACCTTGTTATATTCCCAATTTGTCCAGTACAGTGACATTTGAAGAGACTAGCAGAAAGCAGTTCAATTCTGCTAGTAGTAGTAGTAGTAGTAGTAGTAGTAGTAGTTCAGTTCTGTCAGCTCAGTTATTTTCACATAGTGCTGCCTTATGCAGTGTAAACATACCAAAATTATGACTATACACTGATGGTTACTGCAACAATCATTTGGTTTTATGGTTTTATCTCTTAAGCTTTTTGTATACCTAGTCTGTTAAAATACTTTTATGCATTTAACATGTTGGGGTTTTTTTTTTAATTCTCTTAATAAGAGGACTGTGGTACAAAATGTACTCAAATCAAATCCTCCAGCAAAAGAGCTATCAAAATGTTACATAAAAACCTAAGTATCTCAGAAAAATTTTCAAACAGATTTTAATCATCTTTATTAAATAATAGGATTTCATCTGTTAATTTAGTATATTAGCCACAAGTTTTTAAATTATGCTGTTTATTCCCAGATTTGAGATTAAACAAATATAGTTGCTTTATGAGCAATAAATGAATCCCAGTAATGAATCATGTATGAAAATCTATGAGAAGTATTATATTAAATGAAAAGAAAATTTATGCTGTTTCTAGAGATGAGTAAATTGATCAAAATAATGAAAATATCTTCTCAGACAGAATTCTTGCCCCTAGATTGCTGGGCATCAGTTTTGTCTTAATGATAAACTTATGTTAGTCAAAAATAACAAAATCACATATTTTAAAAATTATCAGAAAATCTAAAGAATTTTCATTATCTCAGTTGTGTAAAAGAGAATAACTCTGTGTTGAAAGATGATATGCAAGAGGGTTTAATTATATCTCCTCCTGATTGGATATTTTTTTTCTTTTTATGATTTTCTTGTCCTTTTTATAGTTTAGTTTTTATTTGATTGTGTTGGGATGATATTTGTCTTACAATTTTCATTGGGACGACAGCAGAGTATGTCATATAAGTTTTTTTCTTTACATGACTCTTCATTTTTTTCAAAGTTTTTGTACATATTTTCATGTATTTAAAATACATACCCATAGTTAAAACTTCACATTGTTATCTATACGACAATGATTACACACATTGTTTTATTTCTCAGAACTACAAATTAAAAAGTAACCAAACTAAGAAACTTATGAGTATTTTTAGGGATATCTAGACTAAATAGAAATATGCTGTTTGAATTTTGATTTTAAACATCTCTTTCCGTTATCTTGAATGGAATTTTATGCAAAATATACAAACTCATGTAATTTGTTTTTAAAATACAAGAATAAATAAATAAGGCACAGGAGAAGAGAACTGCAGACACTGGTACTGATCAGACTTACGGGTACATGCCATAGTTGGTGGGTCCTTCTCAGCTCTGAAGTAACCTTTCTCACACTGACAGACAGAAGTTGCTTCTACGTAAGTCAAACTGTGTGGAGGGCACTTAGAGCACTTTACATTTCCAGCAAATGCTTTGTAGAATCCAGGCCTGCAAGCTGTAAAACAAGAAAATAAGTTTCATTAATAGAAGCAAGTTTTGGTCATATGTAAAATCTGTTCCATGAAGTTACGATGCATCTTCTTTCCTTTCCAACCTAGATATATATGCTATTTTAATCATATAATTCTTCACAGTTTTGATTTTGGTATATGGACTTAAAAAAAACCCAAACCAGTTCTTGTTATATAATGGGAAATCATGAAAAGAGACAGATTCCAAATGTACAGACAGTTCTCACTGCTGCTTGAAATTTTTATCTCGAAAGCTTCACTAATATCACTAAAAAAAAGCACATTATCTGTTTTATGTAGGTTCTACCTGTTAATAAGAAAGAGTGAGATAACTTTTTATCCGCCGAAGCTATTTATATAGCTTTCTTACTTAGGTAACAGAGACTTGCATTTACTCTCACAATGCCTTGATGAAACAAGGATGACACCCCTATATATTTATAGGTGAGTCTGACTTGCCTATAGTCCCCTAAGAAGCCTCTGACAGAAGAACCACATTGTCTGGGTCCTCTGCACCCTGTTGGCATAAGAGGCTGGGAGATGCTGCTATAACCACCTTCAGAGATGTAGGACCTCCAGCACAGACTACCTGCAAGCCTGAGTCTGCTCTTAATTGTGTCAGGAAACAACCTGGACAGCAGCTGCCCAGGGGACAGGGGATGTTGCGATGGTCAGAACTTACTGTGTCCCCAGTTAACTTGGAGCAGGGGTCCCTGCCATTCTTAACCATAGCATAATCTTACAAGCCTTTGACCTGACCTTTAAAGCAGAAACAATTAGTTAAAATACAACTTATCATAAATCTGTCAAGTTTGCATTCTGAAATATTACTTAAAAACCATTCTCAGACTTCATCACACATTTAAACAGAGATTTCTTTCTTTCTCCTGCCAGCTACCACATTTACACATGCCAGTATGTATTACAGTTACTGTCTTCTGACTTCCCAATCCAAAATCAGAACTGAAACAAATGAAAGAGCAACTCAAACATGTTTTGACTGTACAGACCCATATTCCTTCTGACTCCTCCAGCAGTACAATGGAAACTATTGCTAAAAATATAATTTCAGAGATCCAGACTATGTTCTTTACATTGCTAGAGGAACTAGGCAGTACTTCCTTCTCTTGCAGTAAGACAAAATGATGATATTAAAATGAGGCATTTTTTAAAAAGAACTCAAAAATATGCATTTTATGAATTCATTGTCAATTTATATTAAGTGAATTATTAAAAAGTATTAACTCACAGATAACATACAGACAGATTAGTTTTGCTTCTGATTCCAATGGACTGGCTTGATATAAAAGCAGTTTCACAAGTAGCTGAGGGAAAAGGAGTGAAAAAATAGGACTGAAAGAGATAACAGATGATTGCCTATCAGAATCCAAGAGCCAATTTTCCAAATGTAATTTTAAGAGCTTAATTTTGACACAATAATTTCAGCAGTTCTCCCAGTGTGTTCTTCTGACTTTGCTGAATAGACATTAGGGAGGAAACCTGCCCTGCTGTCACTGACAGAAGAAAAAAAAGTATTTCTGGTGTTAGAGATAAGAAAGGTGGGAACAGCAGGGATTTTCCCCTTGAAGGAAGGCTACCAGTCTGATGCAACTGTGATTATAGTGAGTGGTAATTTTCTACTGATTGAAAAGACAGCAGGTTTGGTGCACAGAACAAGGCAGCATTGTAAATATAGGCTGTAGGTACTGACTCCTCTAAGCTTTGCTGGAAGGATGGAAGAGAGGAGGTAAGGCAAAATTGGGGGTGGGTGTTATGCTTGTCTGCTCCTTTCTTCTTTTTCTCATGACCAAACTGTGCTCTGGCTTATCTAAGGATGAATTTTTGCTTTTAATAGCTACCTTTCATACATGTGGTGTGATACAAAGAAGTTTGTAATTAAAGAGCTGGAAATTCCAGGTTACAGTTTCAGTCAAAGCAAAATGAATGCTCATTAAAATCCCCACTACTTCTGAAATTGATGTCTGTCAGTTCTGAAATCATTCCTTCTTCTCTTCTGTCCCCTAAATGACAAACCACTTTGGATCAAAAGAAACAGTATTCCCTTTCAAGAGAAATATTTTGTTTAAACTTCAAGCAGTTGACTAGTCCAAAATGAAACTCAGGGAGAAAATTAATTTCAAATTTTAAAAAGTAAATGTTTTATTCTGAAATGGTATTCTGTAATGCATTTAAAGCATTTGATATGGTATGTCTCTTAAAAGAAGGCACATATATACTAATGGAAAAGATGGGGGGAAAAGAATGGATAAGTGGATCATCTTAGTACTTTTGGAAGTCAACCCAAATACATTTATCCATTAAGCCAGGTATATACCACAAATTCTGAGGCAGAGGAAAATTATCAGGAAAGCTTTTCTATGGACAGGTTTACAAAGCTATTGATAATCCTCTCCCTCTCCAAATGTAGAATCACACAACCATGATTACTGGATAATTTCAGATAAAAACCAACCCTTTATAAAGATAAAATAACACAAGCTGAAACCCCCCAAGTGATCACAAAAATTGGGATAACTCACCTCTCTGGATAACTCAGTGCTGATTGACAACATTCAAGGTGAAAGAAAACAAACTTACTCTATCAAGATCAATGAATATGAAGCGTAAGTCTGAAATACGGCACTTCAGCTGCTGTGTAAGCTTAGACTCTGCTAACAAATACTGTATTTCTACAGCTTAATTAACAAAAATAATTGTAAATTTACCATTTTCCACAGGAAATCTGCGAGCGCTAGAGTTATTACCTAGGTTTTTAAAAACTCATTTAGAAAATGCCCCAACTAGTATGATTTCAGAGATGCATCTCCCTCTGAAGAAAAGAAAAAGAATCTCTCTGTTCCTTTGGCCTTAGGTGACTTTGGGGAGCTTAAGGCTGTATAAGATAATGGTAAACCAACTGTAGCTCACAGCAATTCCAATTAAAATTTACAGGAAAGCTGCACAAAGGAGTCAATGGTAAATGCATTCCATTGTAATTTCTGATTTATGCATAATATTTTGTAAAACTAGGGTTTGTAAATGTTGTGCTATGAGACTGCAGACTGAATTACTACATGTAAATCATGGTGTGTGACTGCAGGTTATGATAGCAAACCATACACAAGCACTAGGTGCTGTATTCAACTTCAGAGTCCTAAACCCCACGCTATCTAAAATAAGGATTAGGATATGACTCTGTAAAGAGATTAATCAGTAGGCTTACTTACATGCTTAATGTTAACCAAGTTCCTCAGATTTTGCCTAGCTTCCTATTGTTTTTATTGTTTATTCTCCTGTGGAGGTTTCAGCCAAACAAAATTACTTAGTGCAGAGACTGCCTGATGGGCAAATCAGAAACTCAGGGACATTTAACTATAAATGGGTTGTGGTTTTGTATTTGGAGAATAAAACCCCCCATATTTCCCATGCAAAATCATACCCTAAGTAAATATATTACAAGTTAAATGTTTGTTCCAGATGTATGCAGAAAGTTTCATTTTCTGTGGGTTGATAAATCAGTATTTTCAAAGTACTTCTCATAACATTTTCTTTACTCAGCTAATAGTTATTGCATTTATCATTTTCACAAAATCTTTGTGCATGTGTTAGTGTAAACTAAAATTTAAACTATTCTAAGCACAGATACAGGCTGAGTGATGAGTGGATTGAAAGCAGCCAGCCCTATGGAGAAGGATTTGGGGCTATTAGCACATGGAAAGTCTGCGCTATGCAATGTGCGATCGCAGCCCAGAAATCCAACCAGATCCTGGGCTGCATCAAGAGAAGTGTGGCCAGCAGGTCAAGAAAGAGGATTCTCCCCCTCTACTCTTGCTCTTGTGAGGCTCCCACTGCAGTCCTGTGTCCAGCTCTGGGTCCTCCAACATAAGAAAGACATGGAGCTGCTTGAGCAGGTCCAGAGAAGGCCACGGAGATCACAAATTTTTTCCTGTGAAGGTGGTGAGACAGTGGCAGAGGTTGCCCAGAGCAGCTGTGGCTGCCCCCTCCCTGGCAGTGTTCCAGGCCAGGCTGGACGGGACTTTGAGCAACCTGGGCTAGTGGAAGGTGTCCCTGCCCATGGCAGGGGGGTGGAACTGGATGGTCTTTAAGGCTCCTTCCAATCCAAACCATTCTATGACTCTATGAAAAGCTGCATCTGAAAAAGGTTCTAATGATAACTACTCAAAAAACCCCTAAAGTTTGTTTTTATCTTTGTTATCACAGAATAAATTTTTTCTAACTTCCGAATCACTGGGAAGCATCTTATTTTCCCTAATGTTATCTAACAGAACTGACACTTTGAGTTACTAATTATACGAACTATATGAGATTTGACTTCTGTAAAGCCTGGAGGAAGATAATATATTGTCTTAATGGTTAAGTAATTAACCGGGTATCTGGATGAACAATTCAAAGACACTTAAGTTTTCTACAATGAAATAACAGAGATTGTGCAGAGAAGCGCTGATAATTTAATTTGCTTCATAAAAGATAACGCTCCTATAAACGTGCTTTACTCCAGCTTTATCAGAATTTGACTATGAGGTTTTTAAACTATAGAAACCTTGTAATTAATATAATTTTCCTTACTTAATGTTTAGCATATGATATTTAGCTTTGTTTGTATTATATGCATATGTAGGGATGCATATATAGAGAAATTAACGCTATGCAAAGCTCTGGTGAACTTAAAGGAAGTGATTCATGGCTTGCCAGCCTCCCAGCCTGGGCAGAGAGTGGGAGAAGGCATACATATATCAAGCAGCTGCAAAACAGCTGATGTTGACGTTCTTTGCTGAGGTACGGAAGCAGACTGAAAAAACTTTAGAGGTGCAATGTACACTTACTGCCTAAAATAAGATACAGTCTCAGCTGTTAGGAACAGTATGGTATGTGTGTGGTGCAAGATGCCGTGGGAAGCCACCCTTCCCCATGCACGGCTGCATGACTGGTTTATGGCCGTTAGCATCCCTAGGGGCCCAAACGC